TCAGGTAGTACGGTCCAGCCTCTTCATCTTACCCTTTCCTTCTTTTTCTGAGGTCCTGGGGGCTGGACTTGCGCCTTTGAAAACGCTGGGCGTGTGATCTGCCACCGAGCCATCTCCCCAGCCCTGTTTGCCCCTGCCAAGAATAGGATGTGCCCCACCCACCCCCAACCGTAGCTGCCACAGGTCCTCTATCCCCCAATGCGGAAATGTCAGGCCTACCTGGAAAATGCTGTAACTGGTTATTTGGTTTGTTCTTTTTTGGTTTGTTTTGGTTTTGCTTTTTGTTTTTCGAGACAGGGTTTCTCTGTGTAGTTTTGGAGCCTGTCCTGGCACTCGCTCTGGAGACCAGGCTGGCCTCGAACTCACAGAGATCCGCCTGCCTCTGCCTCCCTAGTGCTGGGATTAAAGGCATGTGCCACCAACGCCCGGCCTAAAATGCCGTAAAACACGAAACTGTGTGACACGCTGCTCGTTTTAAAGTTTGTCTGTTGACCGCCTTCTACATATCTATGTGATACCCATATGCAAAAGCTAATCCCAGAATTCATTAGATAAGCCTCCCTGTGCAGTGAACAATGGTGAATGCAGGCTCTTGGCCCCCTCTACAGCTTAGTGAACACCACAGAAGAGGACACAAGATAGAAGGCTGAGAGACCATCTTCTGACCTGACAGCCTCTGCAATCCTCACCTCAACAGAGCAGCTGCGCTTGTCTGCACCGGCTTGCACACATCTGGCCCTGTCAACCATCAGTCATAGATGGGAAGGGACTTGGTGCTCTGCCCCTCCCTGCTGGGCACTTTCCCACGACACCTAAAGTCATCAGTTGTGTGTCCAAGGGTAAGCCCACCAGGCATCATTGGATTGCTCCAAAGCCACGGTCACATGACTCAGTGGCCATATACATGTATGAAATGGCGAAAGAACAAAATAAAGAAGCCTTGCTGGCTGAGGTGATATTTTGGTATACTGAGTTAAAATATATTTCAATATATTAAAATATATTTCTATTTTCACTTTTTAAGATGTGACTTAGAAAATTTAAAACAATCTAGAATTCACATTATATTGTTATTGTTTAGTGGATGTCTGTCTAGTTAAGCACAGAAACACACCTGCCACTGTGTAAATGATAAAGGCGTCTCAAGCTTGACATGGTAGAAAAGGCCTATAGTCCCAACACCTGGAAAGCTGAGACAGGAGGGTCACAAATACTATGCCAGCCTGGGCTGCTTGGTCAGTTTGAGGCCAGCTTGAGTTATATAGTGTGATCCCAAAAGGCAAAGGACAGAAATAGTCTTTGTTATTAACAATATTTTTAAATAATTGTTTATTTTTATTTAGTATTGAGAGTTTGCCTGCCTGTATATGTACGCCTGGTGTCTGAAAAGGGCAGAAGATAATGTAGGGTCCCCAGGGTCTGGAATCACACACAGTTGTGAGCTGCTGTGTGGGTGCAGGGAACTGGACCCAGCTCCTCTGCGGGAACACGTAGCTGCCCTTAGCTACAGAACGCCCTCTCCAGCCCCCAGGAGTAACAGTTCATGTTGTGAACTGCTGGGACCATAAATTACTAGCATTTAGTATAAATACTGTCCCAAGTTGGCCTTAACATGCTGACTGTATCATTCCTATAGGGCAAGAATCCCTTATTCCATCCTTGATGCCATTGATTGCAAGACACAGTTGAATTGCAAAGATGAGAAACAAGAAGAGCAGCCAGCATCCATTGGGGCTGGGGCTGTAGATATCTCAGGAGAACACTTACTTGGTTAGTGTGAGACCCTGGGTACAATCCCCAGCACTTAAAGAAAAAAAGGCACTGGCTAAATATTTCACTATTTTTAATTTCTTTACCCCATCATTTTTTATTCATGTTAAATGGAGGGAAATGTTGAAGGCTAATCTTGTTTGTTTGTTTGTTCGAGACAGGGTTTCTCTGTATTGCTTTGGAGCCTATCCTAGAACCCGCTGCATAGACCAGGCTGGCCTTGAACTCACAGAGATCTGCCTGCCTCTGCCCCCAAGTGCTGGGATCAAAGGTGTGTGCTAACAGTGCCTGGCTTGAAGGCTTTTACTGGATCAGAAGTCAACTATGAGATAGCCCTGAGAGAGGTCGCTCCTGGGAGAGGTTTTCTTACTTGTGGGGCATGGGAAGTTGTGAGGCCCACACTATGTGTGGGAGGTACCTTACACGGGTGACCCAGATAAAAGGGAACTACAGAAAGAGCTTCACTTTTGCCTTATTGCCTTTTCGTCTTACTGTTGAATTTATGTTGCAGCCACTGCCGCCGCCACCACTGCCGCCGCCGCCACTGCCGCCGCCGCCGCCACACTCCTTCACTGACACCAGAACCCAGCTTCTTCAAGCCTCTAACACAGAGCGAAGGACTTCAGCACCAGGTGGTGATGGCCGAGACGCCCAGCTTTGCTGAAGGAGCAGGTACTGGGTGGCGAAGGCAGTGTTGGACGACCCAGACCACATCATGTAAGCCCGTCTAATAAAAGCTTTGAGTATGTATCCACTCTGCATGTTCAGTTCCTCCAGAGAACCCTGATGACTATCAAACCCTTTTGTGTATGCATGTATGTGTATACATGTGCACATTTTATGGGGTGTGCATACATATGTGTATGCATGCGTGAAGGCCAAGGTTCAATGGTGGGCGTCTCAATCTCTCCACGTTGTTTTGCAACAGAGTTTCTTCTCACTAAACCTAGACCTCAGGGATTTGGCTAGACTGGCTGTGGTGTCAACACAACCTTGCTCTCCCTCCTTCACTCTGGGATTACAGGCACACCCAGCCAAACCTTACCTCCCGTGGGCTCCACTGAGGTCATCAAGGTATGCAGCAAGTCCCTTGTAAACAGAGCTATCTCCCCAACCGTGAGATCTTCTCCTTCCACATTTATTGTGTGGGTGTGTGTGCACACAGGTGCATGCCACTGTGCAAAGCACACACACTACCACAACTTATACCCTTCTCGTAGTAATTCAAATCATTTACTGGGGTTTAAGATTTATTTTTATTTTATGTGCATGTATGTATGTATGTATATAACTGTACATATTCCTGGTGCTCAGAGACCAGCAGAGAGCATTGGATCTTCTGAAGCAGGAGTGATAGGCAGTTGTGAGCCACAGTGCGTCCTCTTAAGAAAAGCGAGTGCTCTTACGAGTTTTCTTTCCCCCAGTTTTCTCTTTTTCTTTTTTCTTCAAGAGGAGGCCTTGCTGTGTCACCAAGTTTGCCTCAGATTCACAATCCTCCTGCCTCAGCAATGTTGGGATTCTAGGTGTGTGCCATGGTGTTCAGCCCCTTTTCTGTTTAACCAAGTTTATGTTCCTAAGTTGTCTTCTTTATGGAGGTACATGGACACATATAAGGTGTTTTCCAGAGCTCTGAACCCTTTCAGCTGGTTATCAACGCTGGGGTCATGGCCACACCTGAATTGGTAGCTTTGTTGCATCGAGTATAGGTAGCCTAAAGACCCAGAATGTGTGAAATAGTATAGTTTTGTCCTAGTCTTTTCTCTTTGCTGTGATAAAATACTTTGACAAAAGCAACATAAGGAAGTGTTTATTTTCACCCAAGGTTCAGGACCCTAGTCTGTCAGAACATCAGGAGATATCGTAGAAAAGGAGAATCAGAAAACATTCCCCACTTTGATAAATTTATTTTGTAGTACTTAATACCAAATTCACAAATTGTGGCTGTCATTTCATTGTGTTTTTTGTTTGTTTGGTTGGTTTTTTTGAGACAGGGTTTCTCTGTGTAGCTTTGGAGGCTATCCTGGCACTCGCTCTGGAGAACAGACTGGCCTCAAACTCACAGAGATCCGCCTGCCTCCGCCTCCCAAGTGCTGGGATTAAAGGCGTGCGCCGCCAACGCCTGGCGTGGCTGGCATTTCATGTTTATATCTTCTGTGGTCTTTAACAGTAACAAAACTGCACACAGGCATGGGACACTGTGGAATAGTATGGAGCTTGCTCTATTTCAGTTCCTTTTTAAAGTCATGTGTGTGAAACACAACTATGTACAGCAGCCCAAAGGGTTTATACATTCCTTAAGAGTCACAGAAAAAAAATAGCTTAAGGTTAGCTTTATTGAATTATTTTAAATGAGACAAATGAAATGTTGGTTCATTATTAAGATTTTCCAGAAACTTCTTACATTTTTTTTGGGGGGGGGGTTTCGAGACAGGGCTTCTCTGTGGCTTTGGAGGCTGTCCTGGAACTGGCTCTTGTAGACCAGGCTGGTCTCAAACTCACAGAGAGCTACCTGTCTCTGCCTCCCAAGTGCCAGGATCAAAGGTGTGCACCACCAACGCCCGGCACTTCTTACAGTTTTATAATGGAAAAAGTGAATTTTTTTGTATTTTTTTACTTTTTGGTGTAAAACAAAGTAAATATGTTCAGAATTATAAATCAGCTGTGGTAACTTAAGTTATCACAGAGCAAATATCATCCAGGAGCAGGAGTATTAAGAACAACTCATTGTTCCAATAAACCAAATTTATCCTGAAACCATGGAGTTCAACAGAGGTGCATTCCACCATTGTAATAAACTGCACAGATCTGTGTTATTCATCTTTGACTTCATTTCTTGGAAAGATGATAGACAAAGCCCTTCTTTTTCTCTTAAGCATAAACAATGCCTTGAGGTTTAGTTGCACGAGTATGAAGCATCTCTTCAAAAGCAATTTCCTTTAATTTTTAAACTTTCCAATGTGCTCACGGGCTATGATCAGCCTCTGAATTTGTGCAGTACCTTCATAAATCTGAAAGGAAAACATGGCTTGGTTTAAACACCTGGATTCATCTGATGTTTCAGACAACAGTCTGTACTGTAGCACCAAACTGAAATGTTATTTTATGAGAACAGTTTAAGTCATGAAAATTTATTTTACAAAATTGGGAGGAAGGCTTAAAACATCAAAGGAAATGATATTTTACATTTCAAAATGTTTGGGAAATCTAAGGTTTGGTGTTAGAGCATTTATTATCCAGCTTTTCTGAGCTGTTTTTAGTTATGTCCTTTATTCTCTGTTCTTACTATTAAACATGATTTTTCCCCCCACTGCTGCCTATTAAAGAAGGAACTATTAAAGAAGTCAAAATATTGGAGGCTTTGGGCTTTAATCCCTGGTAATCCTTCCCATTCTCAATCTGAGTTTCCAATCTCAGCCACTTGTTAATTCATTCTTGGGGGCTAGAGGGATTTATGATCATTACAGGCTCTTGGACGGGTGAACTAGTAACTCCACAAAGACGGTGACTTCCGGTGTTCATGTCTCCTATGTCTAAATAAAAAGACTGGCCTAGGCAGACCACCGTGAAGACAAAATCCTGAGGAGTTATTTTATTTTATGTATGTGAACACTTCGCCTACATGTATGGATATGCACCACATGCTTGCCTGGTGCGTGCCGAGGCCAGAAGGCGGCCTGGGAGCCCCTGGCACTGTTGTTACAGATGGTTTATGAGCCAACATGTGGGTGTTGGGAATCAAACCCCAGGTCCCCTTGGAGAGCTGCGAGTGTTCTTCACTGCTAAGCTGCCTCTCCAGCTCCATCATTCTCAGTGTTGATATTGTTACAATTCTTAGCCTTTCCTTTTCTAGGGCTAATGACACAAGACTTTTCTGTTGTATGAAAATTAGGTGATGAACATCAGAAAAGGCAGACAGACATGGAAAGAGAATGAAAAATATTGGATAGTCCCAATTAAAAACAAAACAAACAAAAAACTGATTTCAAACAACAACAACAAAAACTTAACCAGTTGTCCGTGTCTCACTCAAGCAGTCTGCCTCTGCCTTGCCAAGACATCTGCTTGGGGTGTGCAGAACGAGGCAGGGGTATGAAGAGCCATGGGCTATAACTCACCCACAATGGAGAACATGTAAGTTTCTATCTTTTTTATGAAGTCACTCTAACTTTCTAATTGCAAACTTAATTTCAGAGTCAATTATCACTTCTAAAGGACACATGGCTTTTGACTGTAAGTACAGTTTCAATTAGTTAAAAAAAAGTGTCAGACAACAATCAAGACAAGACAATTGTAAAAGGCAAAAAATGCAGATTGTAATTTGAAGACTCAAAAATGGCAGAGTTAGGCAGGTGATATATGCCTTTGCTATTTACTTGGCTAGACCCTTCCCTCTTAGCAGCTACACTTAATAAAAAACAACATTCTTTCTTACCATGTGGATTCTAGGAATACAATTCAGGTTGTCAAGCTCAGTGGCAAGTGAGCCACCATTCACCCTCTGAGCCATTTTCCTGGTCCAACTGTCACTATTACCATTGCCTTGAATCTACTATTGTCACTTATGATATTTTATCCCCCCAGGAACAAGACTAGAGAGCCTACCTGATAGATCTTGGCATCCCTCATCAGTTTTTCCACAGGGTATTCTGTATTGAATCCATAGCCTCCAAAAATCTGCACGGCATCAGTAGCTAACTGATTGGCAATATCTCCAGCAAAGGCCTTTGCAATGGAGGCATAGTATGTATTCCGGCGGCCAGCGTCAACTTCCCAAGCAGCTCTCTGGTAACTGAGTCTAGCGAGTTCAACTTTCATCGCCATTTCTGCGAGCAGAAATGAAACTGCTTGGTGCTAGATTTAAGGGGAGAAAACAGTTGGAGGGTATCTATTGGCAGTATTTGTAATATTTTTTCTTAAAACGTCTTTTTTTGCTCTTTATTTTGCACTAATTTTGGACTTGCAGAAAAGTTATAGCTAGATTTCACTACGTGAGCACCATGCAATGATTGAGGCAATGGGCATGAACCTGTAGAATTACATAGACCGTAGACAGATTATGTTCTTAACCTCTGAGCCATCTCTCCAGCCCCCTCTTTTCTATTTTTAAGACAGTCTTGCTATAAAGTGGTTATTGATCTTGAAGTCACTTAAGACCCACCCTGCTGCCGGGCATTGGTGACGCACGCCTTTAATCCCAGCACTCAAGAGGCAGAGGCAGGCGGATCTCTGAGTTCGAGGCCAGCCTGGTCTACAAAGCGAGTGCCAGGATAGCCTCCAAAGCTACACAGAGAAACCCTATCTCGGGGGAAAAAAAAAACCCACCCTGCTGTAGTTACTACCTCAGAGAACCTTCTAGACTATATAGTTCCCATCTTCTGACTTCTGTCCTTTTGAAGAATATTGTTTTGAAATTTTCTCCTTGGTTTATCTAATATTTTCTCATTATGAGAACACAGTGAATGTGCACAGGTGGTGCTCTTAGTGGCTGCAGCTGAGGGTGTGTCCTGTCAGAACTCCCGAGGACAGGCCAGTAGAGACACCTGAATACTAACATCCACCATGTCTAAATCTCTGCAGAGACTCCAAACACAAGTGTGTGTTCTATTTTCCTAGAGGTGGTTTACACAAACAGATACAATGTCTCCCATGTTTTTACACACATGCTGGCCTACGAGGTTGATGGTTTTTCATCTTGCTTTCCTTGTCAGTAAATTGTGCAGAGCTGTATCGGTGCGTAAAGAATTGTCCTAGTGTTTTAGCTGCACAGGCACCATCCCTCTCCCAAGAATGATCAGGGTTTTGGTTATTTCTGCACAATGCTGAGATATGGAGTAAGTATGATGATTCAGATCATAGCTTAGGTTTATCTTTTGTGTGTGTGTGTGGTCCACAGTAGGTGTTTTTATTGATTGCTGAGAAAAATGTACTCTTAAAAAGCGATTGTGATGAAACCATAGAATCTTCTTCCCCACAAAACAGATTATTTTCTTCCTTAAAAGTAATCTCTTAATATTTAGATAAAATGAGTGTATTTAAATTTCACCAAAGCAAACACAGTACTAAGATGGCATCCTCAAGAGCTGGGTAGATGGCTGTCAGTAAAGTGCTTGCCACACAAGCATGAGACCTGAGTTCAGATCCCCAGAGCCCGTGTGAAAAAGCTATATACAGAGGTGCATGCCAGGAGTGCTAGCACCAGAGAGGAAGAGGCAGGTAGGTAGATCCCTTGAGTTCACTTAACATAACTGGGGCGCTCCCGGCCAGTGAGAGACGTTGTCTCAACAAAACAACCAAAAAGCTAACCACAGGACACCCGAGGTTGTCCTTCCATCTCCATATAAATGTGCAAATATGTGCATTCACTCATGAAGAACACACGCTTGCACACACACACACACACACACACACACACACACACACACCACACTCACACCACACACACACACACACACTCACACCACACACACACACACACACTCACACCACACACACACACACACACTCACACAACACTCACACCACACAGCACACACACACACACACACTCACACAACACTCACACCACCCACACACACTCACACCACACACCACACAGCACACACCCACACACACACACACACCCACACCCTCACACAACACTCACACCACACAGCACACACACACTCACATACACACTCACACAACACTCACACCACCCACACACACTCACACCACACACCACACAGCACACACCCACACACACACACACACCCACACCCTCACACAACACTCACACCACACAGCACACACACACTCACATACACACTCACACAACACTCACACCACCCACACACACTCACACCACACACCACACAGCACACACCCACACACACACACACACCCACACCCTCACACAACACTCACACCACACAGCACACACACACTCACACAACACTCACACAACACACCACACACACACACTCACACCACACACCACACAGCACACACACACTCACATACACACTCACACAACACTCACACCACACACACATTCATACAGATACACACACACTCACACCACACACACTCAGAAAGAACCAAAGATTACCTCTGCTAGCAGCTTTCCAAATGTTTTCCTCTCCAGGGCATACTTTGTAGCTTCGTCCAGAGCTCTCTGGGCTAGCCCGACAGCGCCAGCTGCAACCTAGGATATTAGCATTGTGTGATGAAAACGTTCACATTGTCATCAAGCACACGGCATATCACCATCTGTCTAAGATTTCCAGAAAAGGACACAGACAGAAAGTGATGTCACTGCGGTGGGGGAAAGAGTGTTTGGGTTTATTATTTTTTAATTAAAGGTAACGGTAGGGGCTGGGAATGTGGGTCAGTGGCAGAGCGCATGCTTAGTTTTCCATAGGGCCCCGAGTTCGTCCCCATTGCCACGCAACACATAAATAAACATATAAATAAATAGGCCAGGTGTGAGGCCAAGGCTCACAGCCTAGAGAAAGGTCGTTTCTGTTCAACCAGGAGCAGCAGAATACATGGTGGTCCACAATCAACAAGAATGATCGAGTTAGGGGGGAGCTTTCTGGAAATGTAGAGACAGCCATTTATCATCCACTAAATTAGCTTCTATACTAAGCAGCAAAAGACGTTGAAATATACATAGTACAAGTAACAATTCCTCTCCACCACCGTTACTAAAGAGAAAGAGAGAGACATGCAATGTTAAAATAAACCTACTGATTGAAAACCACAAACAAAAGGTCCTACAAAAATGATGAGCTTACTGTAGGTCTGGTTCTATCAAAAGCCCCCATTGCAATTTTGAAGCCAGCTCCTTCAGCAATCAAGACGTTTTCCTTGGGCACTCTGACATCTTCAAAGGCAATTCCTCTTGTATCAGAGCATCGCTGGCCCATGTTTAATTCCTAGCAAAAAAAAATCACGTAAAACACTTAGGAGTTACAGCATTGTTACTGCCAATCATTCCTTTGTGACTTTTTGCAGTCATCTAAAGCAGGGGCCACAACACTGGGCCCACAGTACCTGTTCCCCAGAAACATACCCATCTCTGCTAAGCTGTGTGTAGTGATGTCGTGGCTGTACAAATAAAGCCTGTCTGAAGGTCAGAGGACGGAGCTAGTCCCTTGCTAATCATGGAGGTCTGGAGGTCTGAACAGACAGACAGGAAGTGAGGTAGCTAAACAGGGAGAAACAGGAACTTGCTACGGATGGTTCTTCCTGCCAGCCTGGTCTTGCAGCTGCGTCAGCCCCAAATGAACACACAGAAGCTATTTTAGCCTTAAGTTCTGTACAACTATACCTTGTACATGTCTGAAAGCTACCATATCTCTATTTGTTAAAATATTTTACAAACATGATATTAGAGCCTGTAATCACTAGCAAAGTGATCTATTGAACAAAACAGGGTTTTGCTTTCCTATTTTCTGAGGGGGGGTGAGGGAGTGGGGTCACTTATTTACTTTTTATGCTGTGGGAAGAAGGAGCATGGCAGTATATAGCACTAAGTCTTTTATGTGCAATGTAAATTATAATAAAACCCGGCTTATAAATTAGCAATAGTAAAAGGTTAGAAACATAGAACAAGGTCAGGTGTGGTGGCGCACACCTTTGATCCCAGTGCTCAGGAGGCAGAGGCAGGCGGATCTCTGTGAGTCTGAGGCCAGCCTGGTCTACACAGTGAGTCCAGGACAGACAGAACTACAGAGTGAGAACTGTCTCAAAAACAACAAAAAAACCCTAAAAACATAAAAAAGTCAAAATGCTTCTCAGACTCATCTCTAATACAAAAGAAACGTCTGGACAATATGAATCTCACTGACTTACAAGTGGCTATTTGTTGAAAAGAACATTTTAGAAGCTAAGAAGCTAATAATAAAAATATGTACACCCCTCACTAGAAAGCAAGTCCCCAGGTGTGGAGATTTTTATCAGTACCTAGCACACAGCATGCATTCAGTAATAAATATTGATTCAGTGAGAGTCTTCCTAGTGAGAGCGCGATTAGAAATAGCCAGGCAGCGTCGACTGTCACACCAGTCGGCCACTGTGAAGTCAAGAGGTTCTTTCCACTTAGCTGAGAGGGGTCAGACTCAGCCCTGAGGCTGCCAGGAGCCACCTCTGAATGGGAGAGCGTGATCTGCCACAAATACACACACACACACACACACACACACACACACACACACACACACGCACACTCAAATACAGACACACACACACAAATACACACATGCACACAAACACAAATACACACACATGCACACACTAATATACACACGCACGTGCACACATACATCTCTGGGGAGAAATGTGACTACTCACAGTGCTCACACTATATTATATGCATAGTGTAAGTAGTCTATCTGTGAAGTGTAGTCTGCCTTCAATTATCTTCTCTTAAAAATACAGTATAATATGGCATCAGAAATTGTATAGGTTAAAATCACTAGTAAAACGCCTGGTGTTGGTGGTGCAAGCCTTTAATCCCAGTACTCGGGAGGCATAGGCAGGCGGATCTCTGAGTTCGAGGCCAGCCTGGTCTCCAGAGCAAGTGCCAGGATAGGCTCCAAAGCTACACAGAAAAATCCTTGTTCAAAAAACCAAAAAAAAAAAAAAAAAAATCATTAGTAAAAGATACAAAGTCACTGGTCTCAGGTCAGCCTCTGCCAAACCGTCAGTAAATCATTTACATGGATGTTGGTTTCTGTAGTCAGTAAACAGGCTGGAGTAAACAGCACGTGGGGTATCAGCCTTTAAACTTCCATGACCTAAAAGAGAAGTCCTGTCCTTGCCTGCTTTCTCACTACACAGTCCAAGCTGGCCTACAATTTGCGATCCTCCTGCCTCAGCCCCTGGAGTACTGGGAATTGAAGGCGTGCACTACTTCGACTGGCAGATGTTGTGGGTTTAGGCTCGGTGTGAAGATGTGTCACTGGTTTAATAAAGAGCTCAACGGCCCACAGCTAGGCAGGAAGGTTAGGTGGGACTCTGGGGGACAGAGAGGACTCTGGGAAAAAGAAAGATGGAGTCACCAGCCAGACTCGGAGGGAGTTGGATGTACAAAAAAAAGGAAAGGTAGAAAGCCATGTGGTTGCACATAGATTAAAAGATGTGGATTAATTTAAGTTGCAGGAGTTAGTTAGGGACAAGCCTAACAACGACACACCAAGACACAACTCAACTTTTATTCTAACTTCAAGTATTTTCATTAAAGGAAACAAATAAGATTTTTGACATTTACAGTTGGAATTGCACTTACAGAAGCAATTGTTAAGAAACATGATGTGTCAGGCATTGATGGTGCACATGCCTTTAACCCCAGCACTTGGGAAGCAGAGGCAGGCGGATCTCTGTGAGTTCGAGGCCAGCCTGGTCTCCAGAGCGAGTGCCAGGACAGGCTCCAAAGCCACAGAGAAACCCTGTCTCGAAAAAACAACAAAAAAATAAACATGATGTTTACCTTTTTCCCAATATGTATTCCTGGGGTGTCAGCTTCCACAATGAATCCAGTAAAGGCTTTACTAGGAGGTACTTTAGGATCCGGGTCAGAACGTGCCAGTAAAAAATACCTAAGGCACACAAACCCACGGCATTGGCAACATGAACAACACAGCTTCGCTACCCCCCAAAACACCCCACAGCATTACTATCCCCACTTAACAGAAGAGGCAATGAACAGACACTGGTTCTACTGTGGCCAGACTTTTCAGCCTCTATTCCTCAACTAATGTGGAGTTCACTTAAGGGTGAGTATGAGCCAGTAAAAAGCCCTTCAGCGAAGACAATCTGAGAGAGAGAGAGAGAGAGAGAGAGAGAGAGAGAGAGAGAGAGTGTGTGTGCATGCGTGAGCATGCGTGTGGGTGGACTGCTCCCCTCTGAGCCGGTCCATGTTTCCCAGGACAAGTGATCTGTAAAATGAACAAGCAGGACTCCGGCTGCTGCAGCGAAGCCAGCACATGCATACACTGTGCCTCAATTACCAGGGATATTTACAGGTTCTCACATAGAAAGATTTAGAAATACAGCACAAGGGGGCGGGGGAGGGGGGGAGCGAGTTCTGTGAATCCCCACATCCAAACCAGTTTCCCATGGAACCTGATACAGATTGGTTGCTTTCCTCTGCCAGAGCTGCCTTGGCCATGGTGTCTCTTCACAGCAGTAGAGCAGTAACTAAGACATCCCTTAAACCCCTCCTAAGAAGTCTTCTGTTACATTCTTACAATAATGGGTAAAACCCTGCTTTCCAAGACAATGCATACGGGCCCTAGTATTGGAAAGACTGTCTTTATCATGAGCTAGAGTTTATATTTTTCTACTTTCATTTATTAATTCTTAACTGTCTTTCTGGAGCAACTATGCAAGTCATTTGATCTTAGTCAAAAGGTCAAGAAGGTATCTATCTGTCTGTCAGATATCTATCTATCTGCAACCATGCAAGCCTACTCCATTTGATCTTAGTCAAAAGGTCAAGAAGGTATCTATCTGTCATCTATCTATCTATCTTATCTTCTCTATCTAACTACCTACCTATCTGAATGAGACAGGATTTCTCTGTGCACTAGTCCTAGCTGTCCTGGAACTTGCTTTGTAGACCAGGGTGGCCTTGAACTCACTGAGATCCGCCTGCCTCTGCCTCCTGAGTGCTAGGATTGAAGGTGTGTACCACCACTCCCAGCTGACTCAAGCTTTAAGAATGGCTCTGCTGGGGATGGGCACCGTAGCATAGTGCTTGCCTGGGATTCACAAAGCTCTAGGTTCAACCCCAGAACATCCTACAAATAGCTTTCTGTTTTCTTGAGACTTTTGGAGCGCCAGGGAAGTGTCAGTGTAGGAGATGGGACAGCAGAACTAAAGCCTAATGGATAGATTTATTAAGATTAGCTATTTTTACTACACATTACACATTAGACTTCTTAAACTGATCTGTAAGAAATAGCTCAGGGGCTTAAAATAGTTACTGAGTCACTGAGTTATTTGTAATGTCGGATGGACCTTCCAGTTTCAAAGCTATGGCTTGCTTTAACTGAGAGCTTATAAACAAAGAAGAGTCGAAAGACTGAGCAGTCAGGGACTATACCAGTTTGCCTTCCCTCCGTTGGTTATCCACATCTTCTGGCCATTGATAACATACTCATCGCCCTTCTTTTCTGCTCTGGTCTTAATGCCAGCCACGTCAGAGCCTGCTGAGGGCTCAGTAACACAGTAGGCCTTGAACACGAGGAAACAAACATTAATTATGGCATTGTGAGTATCTGGTAAGAGTATCACTTTGTTTTGTGGTGCTAGGATAGAGCCCAGGTGGTCAAGTGTTCCACCAGTGAACTACACCCTAGCCCCTGCATTTTATTTTTGTAGTATTACATTATAAATGAATATCTAAAATTACAATGTTCTATGTTATGGGGTATGTAATTACACAGTGTAAAGATGTCACTGTGATTGGTTTACTAAAAAGCTGGACAGCTAATAGCTAGGCAGGAGGTATAGGCAGTGCTCCTGAGAGACAGAGGCGGGGGAGGAGAGAAACAGAGAGGCACAGGGCACACGCCGGAGGACTAGGAGAGGAGACAGAAGGTATGAGATGGAAGAGTGGCAGAAGCCATAGATTAATATAAATGGGTTAATTTAAATGATAAGAGTTAGTTAAAAACAGCCTAAGCAGGCTGGAGAGATGGCTCAGAGGTTAAGAGCACTGGCTGCTCTTCCAGAGGTCCTGAGTTCAGTTCCCACATGGTGGCTCACAACTGTCTGTAGTGAGTTCTGATGCCCTCTTCTGGTGTGCACAGAGTACATGCGGATAGAGTAGTCGGATAAATTAAAACAAAACAAGCCTAAGCTAAGGCCAAGCCTTCATAACTAATAAGTTTCTGTGTCATTATTTGGGAGCTGGTGGGACAGAGAAAGACTCAGTGCAGTGCTTAGAAAACCAAATCAATTACTCAAATGTTAAAATATTTAACATGTAAATTAAAGTTAGGCATAGGATACCAATAGACTACAGGAAATATTAAAATATTAAGTATATTAAAATTATTAAGTTCAACTTACTATAAACTGATTTGTTTGACTATTCATTGAGTATCTACCTAGATTTTCACAGGGTAACAGTAACCACGCTAAGTGTGGGCTTTAAACACCAGGACTTGAGAAGCCAGCTTCCCTGAGATGACACTTAGGCCGGATCTCAAATAGAAAGGCTATTCTACAGGAGGAAGAAAAAGAGAATATGTACTCTCTGCAGAAGTCTGTGAGCTGAGGATGAGAACTGGGAGAGGGCTGGGAACAGAGCCCGGGATGCATGAGGCCCTGGGTTCAATCCCAGGTACCACATGAGCTGAGTCCCGTGTGGAGGCACAAACCTAGTCCCGACAAGGGAAGGTGAAGCAGGGGGGACAGGCAGAGCCTACTCACACACATCATTGGCTGCTCTGTCATTCTCCCCAAATACTTCTTCTTCTGTTCATCGTTTCCAGCGAGAATCACAGGCATTTGCTACCAAGGAAAATTAACATTACAACAGCAAACTATTTCATTAGTTATGTAGTTTCAGAAACACAATTCAACAATTGAAAAAGAACCACCTGCCTCCCACAAAGGAGCAAATTCAAAGAATTGGCATTTTCTCTGACCTATTTTGCTAACAAGCAAGAAGACTAGTCTAAGCTGCTCAAGCTTGTTTGTGATAAACAGAAATTGACCACAGTAAGATGCTCACAGATGAAACTTAGGATACATGTGGGCAGGTGTTAAGTAGGCAGCAGGCCTACAGGATGGCCTCTGAGCCACTTCAGGCCTTGCCCTTGTCAAAGAATCCCCATGGAAGCTGCAGCCAGAGTGCACAGCCTCCTCACAACAGAACCGCCATGACTGACCTGTGCAATCGCATCACCAAGCCAGGCTAGCAATCTTCCTTACGGTTTTTACAGAGTTTAACTGCACTACTAGTGACTCATTAACAGCCCAGGCAAACAATTAACATTTTATTAAGTCATAATTTTACTTATTTTTACCCACTGAGTCGTCTCAGGTGGCCTATTATAAATTATTTTCTTAGTAACATACCCCCAGAGAGTTTGCTTCAATGGCAGTTTGCACCCCTGTACATCCATACGCCAACTCTTCGGTAATTAGACAAGCATCAAAAGTCCCCAGTCCAAGACCACCTGTGGCAGGCATCACAGTGTGTACAGAGCATTAGAACAAGAAGAACAAGTCAATAAATGGAAAATGCCTGAGCTCTGTGTTATGGAGAAGCCTCCCCAAAGGAGGCAAACTCGATGGTATCTAAACAGGGAAACAAAGGCAGAGAGCCACTGACTGGCAACAAACATTCTAGAGAATGACAGAATTCCCCTTCTTTTTTAATTTCAGGACTAAGAATGTGAAGGACACTTACCACAGTTCTCCGGAATGTGTGCATTGATCAAACCAAGTTCCCAGGCTCTTTTAATTAGGGGGAACGGGTACTGAAGGGAACAACAACAACACAGTTATACTACAGCTAATGGTAGCAAGACCTCATAATACCGTAAGATTCTCTCCCTGCAAGGTGATACCCACTTCACCCGTTCTGTCATACTCTGCAGCGACTGGGATTATTTCTTCTCTTGCAAACTTCCGAGCGGTTGCTTGAAATTCTTTCTGCTGTTCAGTCAACTCTAAAGGAAATTATTTTGAGAACATCAAAAAGAGGGAATCAAGCTGAACAAAGAATCCCCATGAAGTTGGTATGTGGAGATTTCTGACCTGAGGAAGCAGCCTAAAGAAGCAAGGCACACTTGGTCAGCATACAGTAATAAAACTTGATCCAAAGAATTGTAGAAGAACACAATGCCATAATTTAAATTTCACTCCTCTTTAAACCCCCAACAAATTTAAGAATATAATTTCCCACAAACTGGTAAAAGCAATGAGAAATTTCTACAAAATAATAGTTAACAACCACACAAAACCCTCTGTGTTACTAACAGGCAACAGTCAAACAATCCATTTACACAAAACAAAAGTAGTTATTGTAAAAGTTAACAGGATGACTATGTTGTCTGGAACCCCAGGGTAAATGCAGATCGCTAATTGCATTTTTGTAGACCTGTGCTATCTAGTGTTTCAGTGTGGGTGCATCAATGTGAAAAATGAGGACGGAACGCAGCTCATTGGCAGAGCACCTGCTTATCCTGTGTGAGGTCCCGGATTCCATCACCCGCCACCCCCAAGGGGCGGTGGTGTTAAAGGTGGTATTGTGTAGTTCAGGCAATTAGAGTAAGAACTAAAGCCCAGAAGAATGAGCCAGGTGGGGTGGCACACGCCTTTAGACCCAGCACTCAGGCAGCAGAGGCAGGAGGATCTCTGTGAGTTCAAAGCCAGCCTGGTTTACACAGTGAGTTTCAGCATAGACAAGGAACATAGTGAGAGCCTGTCTAAAAGGAAAAAAAGAAAAAGAAAAGAATATTTGTGACTACAGTTATCATTTCTATGGTGACAGAGAGGTAAAACCTAAATGACCGGTCAAGTCTCCATCACTGAAAGAGACGTCAGGCATGGCTGAATACACATTGTGTCCACTTTATTCATCAAAACCAGACCGACGGGAAGACCGACCGGCCCGATATGTTATCTACACTTGTTCAGAGCCTCACAAGCTCCCTCCTAAATACCTCTGCCTACTTCACCCTCTGGCACTCGGCAGGCTTCACAGATTCTTGGTAATGCTAACTAGCATGTAGGAATTTGTCTGTAGAGCTGAGAGTAGACAGCAGAGCAAGGGCTACTTTCTTCAGTGCCCACCGATGCAATCTGCTGTCCTCATACAATCTGAAAATTCTTTGTTTAATTCTGAAGCTACCTAGATGAAAGGTAGGAATCTGAAGCAAAAGACCTTTAGGGGCTGAAGGACACCCAAAATGGGATATTGTTCACATTTTTTACCTCAATGTTTCATTTTATAAAAAGGAAAGAAAAACGTTGCTTCTTTTTTCTCCAGTACCATTGCTTCCTGGTCTTAGGTCTGAGAATGTCATATAATACCATCAAACTGTAGCGCAGATAAATCAGGCCAGCTATTTTTTTTTCTTTTCTTTTTCTTCAGCTTATTATAGTATCCAGCATTGAATAGAACAAGTGTTTTGAGCAATTATGTGTTGAGCCAGGTGTGGTTGCTCACACCTTTAATCTCAGTACTAAGAAGGGAGAGGCAGGTCAGATATTTGATAATTGTGAGTTCCAGGCCTACCCTATCTATTTACAGAGTTCCAGTTCAGCCAGAAAAAGAAAGTATTTGTTACATGTAATTTCTAGGTTGAAGAAGATTCATATGTATTAGTAGATATTCATTTATCTGAGTTATCCACTTGGGGAAAAGAAGAGGAAGCCTACTATACACATAGCCTGTCAACACTGTAGGAAGAGCATGACCCTGTACAACACACATGAAGATCCATGAACCATCTATGGGTGGTGACTGGCTCTACCCATTGACAGACATCACCTTTACAAACATATTGCAAACATATATTTTCAAGTCAAAGGACAGGACATAACACATACCAAAATTAAACCCTAATCCTGGCTCCTGCTTGACAGATGCTTTCGTGTGTTGTGCTCGCCACTCGAAATGAGAAAGACTTCTTAGGACCTGGAAAAGATACGTGTATCACAATTAAGTCTGATAAGCTGAGTATCAATCAAACGAAAGAACACTGGCTGGGCCACTGATGACCTAAGATTGATCCCTGGGAGTCACTTGGTGAGAGGAAACTGACTGCCACTATTGACACCTAACCTCCACACCTACTCTGCACTCTGAGAGTCTCACACAGACATACCCTGGCACAAATAAATTATTTATACTGACCATCCAAAATGAGCACAGCATATATATGGTCACATTCAAGAGCTACGTTTTTATAGTCAGTAACCAAATACTTAAAGTTATAATTCAAAAGTAAATTACAAGCTAGATGGACACCTATCCACAGAAGAAAATGCTATTTAGTTTGGTTTTATTTTCACTTATGTGTTTGTCTACATATATGTGTGGGAAAGGCCAGAGGAGGGTGTGGAATGCCCTGGAGTTGGAGTTATGGACAGTTGTGAGCCACCCACGTCAGTGCTGGGAAGCAAACTTGGGTCCTTGGCAAGAGTAGCAATACTGAAAAACAACAAACAAACAAGAAAACAAACCATTATCAGTTGGGTGTGTATGTCCCTGAAGGCAGTTTTTTTGTTGCTACTAAAGTTTGTTTTATTTTTGAGGCCAGGTCTCAGTGTATAGCCACAGCTGACCTGGAAACTCACTCCAGGCTGGCCTTGAACCCCCAGGGATCCACCTGCCTCTCACTCCGGAGTACAGGGTTAAAGGCATGCGCCACCACTCCAGGCCCTAATAATTGGTTTTGTGTTTGTTTTAGGACAAATTCTTTTGAGGTAGTTCAGGATGGCCCCAAGCCCACTGTGGAATCCAGGCTGGCCTTGGGATCCTAATTCTTCTGCCTCCACTTGAGATTAGATGAAGATCACCTGTCTACAAAATTGGAGTGGAGGCCCCAGGGCTGGGCTGGTTAAGTATTGATATTAGTCATTTAATTAGAGTAGCTTAACACACGGGCCTCTAATTGGTTGTGCAGGATGAGCAGGGTGTGTGTGTGTGTGTGTGTGGTAGCTTTGCAGAAACAGAATAAACAAAGAACACTGGGTTAAGAAGCTAGTGTTGCAACACTGAGTGCAAGATTCACAAATGTCCATCTCAGAACGGTTCCAAATACACAACTTATATTAGTTATGATAAAGCTTGAGGGGGACCTTGCATGGGGAACCTTGAGGATTCCTTGGCAGTCGAGGGTGACTTAGGGGGACAAACACGCCAGGCAGACAGAGCTTAGTGAGAAGTTTCATTAGAAAGGTAGTGGGGGGTGGGGGGAAGGAAAGAGAAAAGGAAGAGACATGGGGACAGAGAGGGCAGCAGAGAAGAGGGAGACAGGAAAAGTCCTGTCTGCCCCAGGGGAACAGCAGGAAAGAAAGGGAAAGAGAGCACAAGTGGGCGGGTCTGTCTTTTAAAAGAGTCCTTTGCAGCTGGGCTGACCAGGTCACTGCCAGAGTGCATCTGTCAGGTGACAGGGGCAGGCCAGCAGTGTTCCTGAATCCTTACTGTATTCACACCTGGAAAACGGGGCTCACTATCCTAGTGGATGACTGGAGATGATTAAGATAAGACAGCCAGGCTTGGAAGATAGGTAGCAGTGTTTGGAAGGAAGAGAAGCTGTGAGCTCTGGACCAGCCTGGATATAAATAAGCAACAAATACGATGTTCTCAAATTCTAGTCATAATACTGTGTTTAAATTATTCCCGGTTCTCTGCCAAAAGCAGCAGAATTCCACATATGGGAACAACCAGTAACTTTAGTTCTCAAATCTACAAGAGCACAACTAAATAACGAAATTTCTTAGACATTTAAGTCTGGGTTTACAGCGGCGTGGGAAAAGATATAAAAATGTGACACGTTTTCTGATTAGTTATGGGGTTGCACTTTCCTTCACTTGCCCTTGGAGGGACCAGGAAGCCTTTAGTTCTGTCGTTAAGAATTAAAACTAATGTAAAAAGCCCTGCAAGTTCTGTTTTCAGAGCCTGTTAACTTATATCTAATCAGTACCATAATGAAATCACTGTAAATTCTAGTATTACGTCTTTTGTGGGGTTAGAGGCAATTTTAATCCAGTTTCAGGTGGCAGAAATGGAAGGCCTGTACGAGTACATCGATATTGTTTAAGATGCCAGAGAATCTAGCGACTAAACAGACTTCGGAGGACAACGCTGGAGGGCACAGACACAGATGTTCTTCCGCAGGTTCTGCCTTCTCCCTAGA